AGCAGCAGTAGGCACGACGCTGACGGATATGCCAAGACATGGGAAATACTACAGTGTCTAGTGTGTCCTGGCGCTAAACGTCAAAAGACAAACTGGAAGCGTGCCCAGGACCTGGTAAATCATACGTCTTGGTTCTGCGGCGCTCTTACGCGGTCAATGGCTAGAATCGGCTAGAACGCCGGATACAAACTGCATTATGTCCAGGTGTGGGCTGCAGCAATGCATGCTGATCCTGCATCGCTCGAGGTCGAGCGGATTTTCGAAGCTGCAATTGCAATTTACTCGGCGGACATCACTGGCAGCTCTCATTTCACCCAATCTGCCCATCAAATTGGGACATGATTCATGAACATTAGGCACAAAGGCTATCCTCGAATAGGTCCAGTGGTGCTGGCTCCAAACATGTTGATATTGCTGCGTGCTGGCAGATCGGCATGCGAGCTGGGAACTCAAAGCCAAAACGATGCCCCTTCGGTGCCGTCCGACTCACTGAAACTGGAGGGTGTGGCGCTCATGCACATGGTGGACGTGAAACTCTGCGTGGCCACATCATCAAGAGCTGCTGCCTTGGGGATGGGCAGAGTGACGTGCTCCAAGCTCAACGAGATCTCGCTGAAACTGGAGCGCCGGGAGTCTCCGTCCACAGGCAACTTCACGTTGGCGCCATGGCCATGTCCCCCAAGACCTGCCCTCATGCCCAGGTGCTCGAGTCCGGGCGGTGGGCGCAGGCAGGGCAGCGATCCCATCATGGACGGCAGGGCCGGGGACGGCAAGTTGCCCGGTTGAGGCGTGTTGATGCACGGGGGAGCCAAGGACAATGCCCCGCCGACACCTGCAAGCAGATTCTGCTGCTCGTGCGTGGGCGCAAGCAAACCGCTGGCTTTGCCACTTTTCTTCATGTTCTCCACCGAATGGACGAATCTGCACGCCTGCCCACGCACGCAGGAGCCAGTCTTGGAGAACTCGAAGCAAGGCTTAGGGCTCGGGCGCAACTCCGACGTGTCGTGGGCAAAGGAGCAGTCTGCCCCCATCTTGCATTCGTTCGTCCGCCAGAACTTGCACATGCGCGTAAACTGCACGGCTTTCTTCTGCTCGGCTTTGGTCATGCTGCAAGAAGGGCGACCTCCCAGCTACAGTACCGAACTACAGGACGGTCCCAGAAACTTCGGCATAGCAGGAGAGAGTGCAAGGCGTTTCGTTCCGTTTGCTCATTGGCAACCATGATCAAGAATGCGAAGCAGCATCGGCTCCCAAGGTCTCTAATTTTAGCTTCTTCGCTGCTGTGTTTTGGCTCGGATGTCTGTACATGCCAAACCGGAATCAAGCACCTTCGCACGGGTGCGAAGACGATCGACCGGATAGTTGCCAGGGAGATGCGCGAGCACTTGACAGGTTCATGCATAATTGCATGCCATGGCTCAACAGCATCTCCCGAAAAGACGAAACTCCACAGCTCAGCCTGGGAAGTGTTCATGCCACGGTGTGCTTCCAGCGAGTGCTGGTGAAAGGAAAGCACAAGAAAAGCCTGGCACCACACTTCAGAAGTTACTCTTGGAACTGTCGCAGGTGGCTGGGAATGGAAGCCGTTCTCTTCATCTTCGCAAAATACAACCACCAGCGCAACTTCTACTGCCGATTCAGCAGCAGTAGGCACGACGCTGACGGATATGCCAAGACATGGGTAAATACTACAGTGTCTAGTGTGTCCTGGCGCTAAACGTCAAAAGACAAACTGGAAGCGTGCCCAGGACCTGGTAAATCATACGTCTTGGTTCTGCGGCGCTCTTACGCGGTCAATGGCTAGAATCGGCTAGAACGCCGGATACAAACTGCATTATGTCCAGGTGTGGGCTGCAGCAATGCATGCTGATCCTGCATCGCTCGAGGTCGAGCGGATTTTCGAAGCTGCAATTGCAATTTACTCGGCGGACATCACTGGCAGCTCTCATTTCACCCAATCTGCCCAGCAAATTGGGACATGATTCATGAACATTAGGCAGAAAAGCGATCCTCGGATAGGTCCAGTGGTGCTGGCTCCAAACATGTTGATATTGCTGCGTGCTGGCAGATCGGCATGCGAGCTGGGAACTCAAAGCCAAAACGATGCCCCTTCGGTGCCGTCCGACTCACTGAAACTGGAGGGTGTGGCGCTCATGCACATGGTGGACGTGAAACTCTGCGTGGCCACATCATCAAGAGCTGCTGCTTTGGGGATGGGCAGCGTGACGTGCTCCAAGCTCAACGAGATCTCGCTGAAACTGGAGCGCCGGGAGTCTCCGTCCACAGGCAACTTCACGTTGGCGCCATGGCCATGTCCCCCAAGACCTGCCCTCATGCCCAGGTGCTCGAGTCCGGGCGGTGGGCGCAGGCAGGGCATGGACGGCAGGGCCGGGGACGGCAAGTTGCCCAGTTGAGGCGTGTTGATGCTCGGGGAAGCCAAGGAAACACCTGCAAGCAGATTCTGTGGCTCGTGCGTGGACGCAAGCAAACCGTTGGCTTTGCCACTTTTCTTCATGTTCTCCACCGAATGGACGAATCTGCACGCCTGCCCACGCACGCAGGAGCCAGTCTTGGAGAACTCGAAGCAAGGCTTAGGGCTCGGGCGCAACTCCGACGTGTCGTGGGCAAAGGAGCAGTCTGCCCCCATCTTGCATTCGTTCGCCCGCCAGAACTTGCACATGCGCGTGAACTTCACGGCTTTCTTCTGCTCGGCTTTGGTCATGGTGGCGCGGGGACTGAAAGCCTAGCTACAGAGCATCTGAACGGTCCATGTGGCTTCAATGTGCAGGCGAAATGCATTGGCTTCCGAGACCTCACATGGACCACCGAACGAAAACTTAAATCCTTACTGCTTGACTGGCCTGCTACTGGAAGACCTTCTTCGACCTGGAGCTCTGATGCATTACTTTTGCATGTTGAGGCAGCTCAAGAACCAGGCAGATCCCAGGGCTACATGGCTTCAAGCCGACTCTCCCCAAACAAGTCGGAATCTGAAGGCTGCCTTAAGAGTTAGATATATATATATATATATAGATAGTCTTATGTATGTAAGCTTGCAGCGGCTTTTGGAATTCGGAAAAGTGTGCTGCTTCGGCAATTGAGATATGCAAGACAGTACAGTGTCTGCGGCGGAATCTTGCTCCACCAAATACATGTTCGGGCAACTGACTGTGTATGTGCACGAGGTGCTACTCGAAACATAGGCAGATGTGATGACGGTGCACAACGTCTGCGTGCTTTGGATCGCTAGCCACTGCCGGAATCTGTAACCGGCCTGACCTTGGGTCCTGAATTCTGCCCACATGCAGCCTCAAGTTTTCCTTTTCGAAGAGTCTCTGCCTCGCTGTGGCGGCTCGGATCTGCACCAAAATGATAGGCACACGCCTCTACAGCCTTGGACGTGCGATTGCCCTGTTCAATATGACATTGCGTGTAGATGCGAGTAGCAAGGAATGTATGACAGGCTTCCAGAAGGGTGAGATGCCGCACATCCACAGACTTTGTTCCAACAAGAACTGCCCGAATCGAAAATTTTTTTGCTTAAGCAGAATGCACGTAAAAGGCCACCTGCTGACTCTGCAGCAAGCTGAGGCAACTGGGACACCGAGACCAGTTGCCCGGCTTCAGCCTCATCGTATGGTTCTGGACTTGTGGAAAACCGTCTTGTGAGCTTGTGGGTATAATGACGGACATGTGCAGCTGCCGGCATGATGTCGAATTTGCTACAATCGCTGCAAGCTGCTGAGTCGTTCCCGACACTGTCACAAGCCTGTCTCCCGGCGAGCTCACCTACCCAGTCAAGTGCATGCATCGACGAGGCATGACGATGCCAATTAAAGACTTCAGCGGGAACGAGTGGCACAGAAGCTATCTGATCAGATCTGTGCAGTCACCTCCCTCCGACATCCCTCATCCTTCCCACCAGTGGATTATGGAAACAAGCGTCTCGAGGATATCTACAGCGAATACGTCAGTCTAGCGATGTGTAAAATTTTAAAAGCAAGCTCTGTTTCTGGGATCTCCTGGGTTTTCGGGACACTATCACTACGCCAACCGCCTGTCAGTACAATCCCAGAGACACCTCAAACAAACCAACTACAGGGTGAAAGCTGAAAGCCAAACTGCTGTCCCTCAAGTGAGACCGCTGGAGGAGTAGTGCTCAAGCACATGGTTGACGGCAGGTTCTTCATTGCAGTGTTTGCATGAACCGCCATCCACATCTCTTCAAGGTCTGCCACGTTTTCGGACTTGGGTAAAACCAAATGGGCAGGCTCCAATACAAACGAGATCTCATTCAGACTAGAGCGCAGGGAGTCTGCATCCGTGGATGCATTCAGCGAATGGTCATGTTCCCCGAGACCGCCCATCATGCCAATGTCTTCGAGTCCTGGTGGTGGGCGCAAGCTGGGGATGGTCCCCGTGCTTGGCTGAAGGAGCGAGGGCGGGGACAGCAAGTGGAGCGGTGTCTTCGTGTATCTGGCAGCCAATGACGTCGGCCCAATGCTGGCACCTGCAATCAAACGCTGCCGAGCCCTATGGTGATGCTCGGCAGCAGGCACCCCTGTGGCTTGAATCATGTCGTCCACGGACACGAAGCTGCGCGCCTGCCCACACTCGCAGGAGCCGGTCTTGGAGAACTCGAAGAAAGACTTTGGGCTCGGGCGCAACTCCGAAGCGTCGTGGGCATAGGAGCAGTCTGCCCCCATCTTGCATTCGTTCGCCCGCCAGAACTTGCACATGCGTGTGAACTGCACAGCTTTCTTCTTCGCGGCCTTGGTCATGTGCGTTGTGTGAGGACACAGGTGGTGATGAAGTCGGATTTGTCAGCCACAGACTCCGCTAGGAAACGGCTTGAGACAGTATCGGCTTGCGCATGTCTGCGTTGTTACGTCATTACATGCCGAGAACCTTAGTTACCTTAGTTTCTCTCCGCTCTCCCGTGCTTCCTCATAATTATCCCAAAGTGAGAAGCGGATTCCTGTCGACTCGTGCATACCTGCCTCGCTTGCATCCCACTCTGGTGCTGGTCGCCGCCGTAGTGGTCTGGCCACGTCACAAATCTCAACGCAAATGTCGTACGACAGCGTTTGCTCCAGTCCTTTTAAAGTGCGTTTCATCATACGTCGTACTTCCCGGCTGCAATAAAGAGAAGGCTGCTGTACCTACTGCACTCTGAAAGGCCTTCTGCGGCTGCACAAACTACATATGCTTCTGCTGAGACAATGCCGTTGATAACTGCAACTTTGCGACATCCTCCTGGCTAGCTTTACTGTTGCTAGTTCTAGATTCCAGCATGCCGTTTTCGACATCGTGCTGCATCTTCAATGCCTGTCGGCCCGCATGGCATTCTATGTCATTTTATGCAACCCCTGCGATGCAACTTGCTGATTGTATTTGCTTTCGTCTCGCACTTGTTGCCTTGGCATGCCGGCAGGCTAATTACGCATGACAATGCTAGAACACTAGCAGTTATTGCAACACAGTCATATGTTCACGTTGTGCTTCTCTCAGCTTTTAGATGCCTTTAGCATAGCATTTATTCACGACACTGCGGCGTTCTTGGCGTTCCGCCATGCTGTTGTCATGATTTCCGGGCGCTGCAAACGGGGCACGCTCAATTCAACTCCCTGCAAAGATCCTTTCCATGCAGTTGTCTTTTCTGGCGCCAGTTCCCGTTGCACTCCTCGTTTTCGGTCTCCCTTCTGCAGGTGCTTTGCACTTCCAAACCACGCCCAAACGAAGAAGTAAGGAGCGCTTCCGAGACGACGCAGGAGCGTCAGGATCATACAAGGTGCTTCGACGAACTCGAGCTGGCCCAAACAAAAACCAGCGCCTTTCGGTTCTCCATCCATTCCCGAAACACTTCTGCTTGCTTGCTTTCCATGTTCTAACGAAAAGGGAGGGGTGCTTCATGTTGAAGCCGCCTCCCCTTTGGAAGCTCGATCTGATGCCTGGGAAGTGAACAAGCACGTGGAAGAGAAAGGGGATCAAAGAAGAAGACTTGGACAAGTTCCACGTGTCACGATGGCGACTGCCTCGTAGTTGTGACAATGTCTCTGAGGATTTCGGCATCTGTGAGTTTGAATTCTCGTTTGCCAGACAAGACTACTAATTGCATGAATACTGTTGCATAAGTTTCTGCCGGTTTGCCATGATTTCTCCCTCTGCCATGAACGGTATTCGGTATTCGGTGGTATTCTGTTATTCTTCTTCTGCTAGAGTAGTGAGTTGCCGCTGTCGCATGTTCAGTCTGAAGGATTGAAAAAGACTAAAGACCTTGAGAGCACAAATGGACACAAAGTATCTGTAAGCCTGGTGTCATCTCCGGTAGGCTGTGTACGAGTTCTCCGCAGCAACCGAAGTTCTGAGGATGCCCGGGCAAACTGACTCCTGGCCGCCCGTCCAGGCCTCCCGGGCCCTGCATGCTTGGGAGGATCCGACCTGCCAGCAGAAGGGTGAATGTGAAACTATTGCGTGAGTCACTTCGATGATCGTGCACGCGAAGAAAGCGGAGAAGCAACAAGAGCTTCGCAAGTTCGCTGCGCTGGTGTGCTGGGCCACTGGCTTTGGACTAGCGTCAGTTTGTTTAGTGCGCATCGACACTTCGAGGATGTGAAGTTTGCGGTAAGTCTATGCCCCAAAAAGCCGCTCCGCACCCTCGCAGAAGCGCGTGGAAGGTCCGATGCGTTTCGCACGCAGGGCAGCTGCAGTCCTTGATGAATGATGTGGTGCGATCTTGCTTTTCCCTTTCGCAGTCTCACAGTGGCTCGGTTTCTGCAACAAGTCATGAGGTGTTGGCAAGCACTCGAGTAACCTACACGAATCAGCCTTAATGTTGAAGAAGCTTCCACTAAGATCTATCTCATAGTCTGGCCTCCCATGTTCGGTGGCCCTGTCCTCACTGTGCAATCCGGATGGTGCAGCAGCGCCCGGGAGCATAGTCCGATCGGCAGCATAGCCATCCCTAGCCGCAGCTTTTAAGATGTTTAGCCTATGAAATTGAATACTAGACTTATCTTCAACAACAGCATAGATGAACCCGAATGACCCCGAATGGCCCGGGTGTAAGATTGCTCCCCAAGACGTCAGCGGCGCGCACCGCTTCGTGACTAGCTGTTGGCTGTTACAGCAATCGGAACGAAAGAAGTTGACAGTCCCGAAGCAGAGGGATGACGTAGCCACGCAACCCAGGAAAGAGCATGCTTCACTTCATTCAGGGCGCAATGATTCCTCAACAAATATGCTTTTGAAATGGCTCCTCGCGTTTGCTGCTGCTGCCGGCGGCGCCTTGCTGCAGTCGAGTCTGGAAATTGATTGCCTAACCTGCCTCCTCAGAATCCTCAGAACTCTCGAAGAAGAATCGCTATCTCGCTCCCAGGGTCCCATGCCTGGTAAGGCGGCCTCTGCGAGCGCATGGAGGCTCAGGAGGCTCAACTCCTATTTTCGCATCCCTATGTGTACTCTACTCATCTGCTTGGATCGCGCAATGCAGTTGCTTTGGATCAGGCGCAGGTCTGGTCGCCCGCGAATATGCACGGTTCTCAAGGTTGCTCCAACATCATGATTGGCACAGGACTCAGACATCTCACCTTCCTTTGCTCCAGCTTTATGCAAGTAGTGCCAGCTCATGGTGTGCAGTCATTTGCAATGCTTCCATCGAAGACTCAGCTGCCGTAGCCTTGACCCAACTGACGGCCATGGCATGGCCACAGTCACATGGCTAAGACATTGACGTTGACGAGATAAGCATCCCAACAGAAGGGTCGGTCGAGTTGGCCGTGGCGGGAAAGCATCATGCTCATGATGCGGCTGGTGGTGGCGATGAAGATGATCATGACAGTGATGATCATGTTCAGGCTCGCGCGCCTGCTGTTACAATGAGTACCGACTGCTTGGATAACAAATGGCCGGAAACGTGGCTGTAGAGGTTGATACTCTAAGTTTGAGGCGCATGGAAGATCAACAGGGGACATGCTGGTGTCGGCTGAAAAGGCATTGATCGAATTTGCTATCATCGCAGTGGTTGCCGTGCTCCGGTGCAGCATGGAACAACTTGATGCTGATTCGGTCAAGACCAAAGCTATAGCTTAGCTAGCTTCTTACTGAGTCATGTCGGTGGTACTTGTACTGTACGTGGCACACCACAACTGTCCCTGGCGTTCTTGCTACGTTGATTAGCTTTTAAAAATTTTACTTGCTGTGAAACAATGCGAAGCCGCCAAAACAGAACCGCTTAGTTCGGCGTGCTCAATCAATCTGGCGCCGTCATGTCACCCCTACAATCTACGAACTACACAGTTCCTTCGCCAAACCGACCGGCTGTTAATTTAACATTGTGCTACTAGGTCGGAGGCAGGTTATCACAAACCATGGTAGAGTAATAGAGTAACGAGCCTCAAGGCTGTCTCACTTTATTTTCGTGCAAAAGCAAGTATACTGCAGGAATGAGTTGCTTCTCATCTGCTGTCTGGCTTGCCTGTCGGGCAGCAGCTTTTGTTGAACCCAGGTCGCTGACGATAGCCGAGTGACAGCGTGGCAGCATGCCGAGCTACTCCATGATGGACAAGGGACATGAATCACACATCACCCTGCCTATTCTGAAGGCACTCTGCTGAACTTTGTCAGGGAGGTGATGGTGGTCTTCCAGGTCCTGACCGGAAACACGGCTTGCACTCCTTCCTCCTCGACGCAGGTGTCCACACAGCTGCACGGCAGCATCAGGGAGATGCAGGGAGCAAAGCAAGTTTCAAAAAGCAAGCCACGCAAGCTGCAGTGCAGACACGGCGGCTGCGCCTTACTTAAATTGCCTTGCCACATGCTCTTCAAAACGTTACAGACTGCTGTCAGGTTCAAGAGGATGTCGACATTGACATCCAAACGGTCCTTCTGCGAAATTTCCATGTACTTGATCGTTTGGCCGTTTTTAACCGGTCCTTGGTCCAAAGCTGAGGCATCTCGCGCTAGTTCATGTCTCCTCCCTGATAGCTTTCTGACCCTACCCTGGCAATCAGCATGAAGCTGCTGGCACCTAGACCTGGTCTCTGAGGTCCCCACTGGTGTACAAGTACCTTGGGTGCGAAATTGCAGGCAAGCTTATTCCCCTGCAATGGCCCTACAGTATATTCTGGAAGTCGTGTTCCATCCTGCAACAGACTGGCACCGTCTTTTGATGTTCGTCTTGCCAAATCTGCCGTCAAGCTGCAAGGACAGGAGCACCAACGAAGTGCCGGCAGTGAATGTTGCAGAGGGTTGCAGGTCGAACAAGTACACAGAGGCCACACATGTCAAAATAATTGAAATCGCCTTGGTTGTGAACGTCAACGAGATCGCAATCGCGATTGAGTCACCGAGATTAGAAATGCCACATCGTTTTGCTGCTGCTTCAGAATGCCCTCACAAACAAATGTGGAAACATATCAGCTGCCACTCTCCCCTTCTGTCCCTATTTTCAGCTCTAAAAGGCATGCGGCCGCCCGCCATCCATACGTCACGGAAGGGCCCAAAAATGGCTCTTGACTTGACATTGTTAAAGTGCAACGACTGGACAACGGGCCGGCTGGCTCATCCGTTCATTCATTGGGCTACAGCACAGACAGATGGCCAATCAAGGCTACAAACACGGGGCTTCTTCCAGAAAAGCTTTGCAGTTGCTGGCTTTGCTGGGTCTGCAGAAACGGATAGTCGGGGTCAGTGCCACAGTCTTTCGACGGAATGTGTCACGGCTAAATCGTCTGGTCTGCTCAGACAACCAGAAACAGGAAGGCAAAGAAGAGGCCGAGAACTTTAGTAAAACATTTAACCTTCGATTCAGACTCCCAGTGCGAGCGAAGAGCCGTTGCGAATCCCTTCCTCAGTTTCTGGCGACGTGGAATAACAATGAGCCCTCTGGCAAAACCTGATTGTGACACTGAGATCCGTGCAAGCAGCAAATCAAACTACAAGAATGCCTGAGAAATGCCTCTATGGTTTTTTTTGCTTATACACCACCCCTCAACTCGCAGGCACAAGTCAAAAACCGAATCAACACTTCAGAAATTGCCATCTTGTCTCGAGATGTTGTCTGCATACTTCGCGACCACAGCAACCGCCATGCCGCCCAACGCTTGCAGTGCGATTACTACACCTTGGCTCCATGTAACGCATGAAGCCTGTTGTTGAAATCAAGCCTTTGCTCGCAAACATACTGCGGCCTAAGATTGAGCAGGACCTTCAACTGAAGGCTCTGCCTTGTTCACACAAGCATCGGGATCATGCGGTGTTCGGTGTCCTCACCTGTCTGCTCAGAAATCATGAACAAGTCAAAACCAGGAGCATACGAGGAAGTTCCAGCCGAGGAAGAACCCCTTCTGGCCTCGATTGATTCTGCAGGGCGCTGGTCTGAGACATCACCATTGTGCCATGTGCACTCGGCAAATCTCAAGGGCTGCGAACTGCAATCTTGCTGGACGTCCTTCTCTTTCCAAGATTAAGTCAGAACGGTCTTCAAGTCAGGCTGTTAAACAAGCCAGACTCCGTGACAAAAAGAAGCTAGTCTGAGATTGGGCGACCCAGGTCTACCGCTGCCTCGTGTGCACAACGAGAAGCAAACAGTGAATGGGCAGCTACTTCCAAACTGGGCCGACCCTCCTATTGCACGTTACATCCGAAATCTCACTGGATTAACCAAGAGTCGAATCTTAGGGCCATCATTGGCCACAAGGCCCCAGGTGATTGCGACCAAAGACCAGCTAGCAAGGTGCATGTTGCGCACCCAGAGGCCTTCGTTGCAGAAGCACATGCCAAACGAGAGCGCTGACGGTTTTGGAAACGATGGAATGTACGAACAGTAGAGGTGAAGAGACTCGTCAAAGTTGTTCTGTAAGTTTGTCAAAGGAAAAAACCTGAAAGATTGGGTTATGAGGTAGATTATCTCGTACTGGGGATCAAGCAAGCCCGCTGTGCTGTCCGAAAGATGCAATGCTCGTCCCACTCGCAAGCCCTACATCTAAGACTGCCATCCTGTTCCAAATCTCCGGAAAGCGATGTCGGAAAGGAAGTTAAACCAAGCGACTGGAGTTGCCACTCCTAGGCAGCAGCGAGCTCTTGATCTATCTACCTAGAGCATATACAGATGCACATGTGTATACCTATGTGTGCATAAATAGATAGACAGATATAGATATATATATATATACACATAATAGACGTATAGACATGTTAAAGTGCAATTACGCAACGGCTGGTGTGTGCGTGTGTGTCCCCACACGAAGCTCATGTGGTAAGTATCTTTTCCATCAGTTGTAGACGTGCAGAAACAAACTCTTGCGAGCTCCTTGGCTGACAACTGCCAACATAGTTGTAACTCCTGCAGGCCTATGGCGACCCACTGATGGCAGCTTGGTCGCTTAAAGACTTTCTCGGTGTAGACTGCCGCCAATCCTGTCCCCAGACAGACATCTCAGCCTGCTCTCCTATGTGTTGGTTTCTCATGTTGTGCACATCCTGGGTCAGCATGGGGAGGCAATCTTCAATCGGCTTTGCCAACCTATCCAGCCGTCCATCACCACATACATGGGCTCATCCGTCGATATCAGTATTAAGTAACAGCAGCACAGCTTGTGTTGCACACAATTGGGGAGGTACACATAGCGATGTGTTCATCCACACTAGTCATACATCCGATACCTGTCGGAAGAGTCTTTCTATCAAATGACCGTGCCTTATATTTCATCTCAGCCCATGTCCGCGCATCTAACGACACTAGCGGCGTTGTGTTGCATACGAAACAACGCATTGTCCAACCACGCGCCACGTTCATGCATAGGTCAATGCAAGCTGGCTCGTTCTATCCAACCGCAGTTCTCCAACTCCCTGCTGCACGAGACAGCAAGCACACCAATGTATGAATATATATATATATGTGTGTGTGTGAAATGTGTATATATATATATGTGTGTGTATACATATTTATATATATATATATATGTATGTTATATATTGCGTTCATTTTGTGTGCTTGTGTAAGCAGCATAGGTACGAGTATACACGTATGTATGTGTGCATGCGTCTCATGTGTGCAAACAGCAGCTGATGTATGTGCATGCGCACGCAAGCACAAAAATGTGCACATGCATCAATCGACAACTGGACCTGCAAATATGCCAGGGCGATACGTTCTGTGGGTGGCTGAACTGCCCAATTGGCAGTCTGCCGACCCTGCGAGTTCGTCCGTCCAGAAGCGGATCACTCACACTTGCAGTATTTTTCCAATTCCAGCATCGGTTTGGCATGGGCACGCGGCATTCACAACCTACCGTGTGCAACGAAGCGTTTGTAGATGGGATGTCCAGCCTGATCAGCTGGACGTGCCTGCATGAACTGATGGCCCCAGATCAAACATTGAGCCCCCTGTGGCACAACAATTACCCTGCGGCATGTACATTACAGCCACATAGCATGAGACCTGCAGCCTCTGGCTGATCCACTTGCGAGAGTGCGTGCGTGCGCGCGTGTGCGCGCGTCAACACATACTGTTGTGCACATAGGCAGAGCATTGCGACTCTGCCTCCCATGTACCCGCTTGATTCCTTACTTGCTGCCTCGAGTGCTTGCGTGTCAACCTGCCGTGCTAAAGCTGCACGACTTAAAAAAGAAAGGCTAGACTAGACCAAGGCATCGGCCACTGGTGATGCACGCCACAGAGACGGCCGTGAAGCCGACCCATGCCTCCGGCACAAAGGAAGCAAAAATCAGTAAAATGATAACAGGGGTGGTGCAAATCATCATCGGCATCATCACTGACATCATCGTTCTCGCTGGCATGGTACAAGAGGTACGAGGGAAAACAAGGAACAACCATGCTCACATTACGATGGGGATGAGATGAGTCGCACGAGAGGATGAGGAGGACTGTCATCCTCCTCATCTCATCCTACTTCCGTAGGAACTTCACCCGATCCAGCTGCTACATGCATTGTTTAGGAAGCAGGCATGCCGAAGCACGATCTGGAATTGTGCACTGCGGTGTGGAGCCGAATGGAACTTGCACACGGGATGAACCAGACATCATGCATGTCATGATGCCGATTATGCAGCTGTGAACTCCCGACGTGGCTCGATGAGAGCCAACCAACTTACAAAGTCAATCCAACATCTCAGCCCCAAGCCACGGTGTCATCATCCTGCCCTGGAAACCCAGGCCTGCTGGCCAGGCTTTTGCCGGCTGTCTTCAGAAGTAGATAGCTGCACTGCGGCCACCTTAGGGGTGTGGAGAACGGCTACAGCCACTGATGTCACGAAGAAGGTTGTCTGCAAAAGGTTCAAATATAATTACTCAATGTCAGAGCACAAATCCGGTCAACAACACCGACCATCTATGTAAGAAGCAAGCCAAAACTTCCTTGCGGCCACCACCACGAACACAAATGGCGATTATACTGGTTCCTGATGCTAGCTGCTAGCGCGTGCAGGAGACGTAGCGTAGACATGCGTAGTCCGGGTGATGGCGGGAAGACCCTCCGTTCTACACAGGGAGGTCTGCATGCGGTCAAATGACGCCGAGTGCACACAGGAAAATGCCCCACCACTGGGGAGGCGTAAGCTGCCGGTTCAGCATCGCCACACCTCGTCCCGGCAAGCGATGTATGGACTCTTGCACTTAAGACTATAGCTCTCGTTGTGAGGCCAGAAACCCAAATACTGAAAACTGCCATCTAATTCTGTACTGATTTCGGCCGTGAACAATCTGCACCACTATCACCAGAAGCACCTTCGCACAGTCTACCAGACTTGGCATATCAAGACAATCAATGACACTCAGCACTGCTGAGTACGGAACTGCGAGAACATGGTAGAGCCCAACGTAAAGAGCTCCGCTCAGGACGAGTTCACGACAACGGCAACGGAGCAAAAACTTTCGCGACTGGTTCGTCAGTGCTCCGGCCGGGATGCTGAAGAGCGCAGTCGTGACCAGCTTCATCCTGGCTCAGCGAAGTTTGCAGAACCCGAGCTCTCAAACCGACAGAAGAGCGAAGCTGCCTTGTTTTCGGAGCGATCTTTGACGAGCAGTGCGCAGCTCTACACATATTCTGTAGATGCCAGCACTGCTATGGTGCGTGACAGAAGACAGTTCAGTAGAGTCTCTGTTGCCTCATGACTAGTTACTCGTCTGCCACACAAAGGTCCCGTCGCCATGTCCATCTGCTTACAGGTAAACGCTGCACGGAATGTCTGTTGGCCTCGGCCAGTCTCGGCCAGAATCGAATTCACCCAGTTCCGGTGTGCTCTGTTGTTCGCTAGGTCTCGTTGAATACCATATTCGCATAATCTGGCAGCAGTTGGGTTTGCGCAGTGCTTCGCATACAATATAACACAGCTGATTCCTGCTGTCCTGGAGTGTTGCGCCTTAGCAATGAGTCTAGTCGCAATAAACTAAAACTGCTATCCAAGAAGCTGGTACAGCACTTGACATACCTCAGCGCAGCCGTGTTGGAAGTGTTTGTGCTCCAGTAGCACATCGAGATCTATTCTTCCAGGACACGGAGATGTCAAGGTTCGACGCGGCGACATACTGAAGGCTGTTCTGCAAAGAATACAGCACGGCCGGCACCAGCCTGGCTCAGGATCCGGGAAGCTGCAGATTGGATGGACTTGCCGTTGTCAATTTGTTCCAAGTCTGAATCTCGTTTTCACGCTCTTTAGATACAGCCGGCCGTAACGAATGTCTGCAGTTATCTGGGTCATGGGATGCACTGCCCAACCACTCGGGCCCACACATTCTGAAGGACTCCGTGGAGAAGAACATGATAATCAACTCAGCGAAGGGAGCATCACAAGCTTGTGAACATGCCAGTTCTGCACGTCACATGTCTTCGCTCTGCAGAAACTGTCGCAGACAGGTTTGCGTTCTACTCTAGTGACGGCGCAGCAGCGGATAACATGACAACGGGAAGACGAAGCAAAAACCCACAGACACAGCCCAAACTTGCAAAGTCCCTTTCGGAGGTTGCCCCGAAGACAGGTCTTGGACACACACGCACAGAGAAACTGCGAGCCAAATCAGATCTTGTGAGCGCCAAACAAATTCGCCTGTCCCTACAGAACCCATCAACATCCGAAGGCGTCCTTACAAACAAAACGGCTGTTTTCTGCGATCTTACGAAAAAGGAGTATTAGTTCTTATCAAGGCTCGGTGACGTGCATCAACGGACAGCAGGCAAGTTTTCTCGACTCAAGATCGTTGAGGTCTATCTGAAGGTTTTGATCGCGAGATCTTCTTATGAAGATCCGCGGCTTTGTCATAGGTTTCACCCTGAAAACTGGGCCCCTGCCGCCAGCGGGGGCCCCTACCGGAGCCTTCAGAAACTCTTCGGCCGAGAATGGCCGAAGGGGCTTTGCCACACGGGCAAAGGGCAGTTGTTCGACTCGGGCCACGCATCCGGACCATTCAAACAGTTCGACGTTCTGTTCACAGCTTGTTGCTCTGATCGACGCTCCATGGACCTATCCATTGTGTACCAAACGCTGCAGTTTACAAGTGGATTGGACCAGACACTGAAGCGGCATATGGGATATCAGCGTGCGCAGTGTGCAGTCAGCCTTGGGCTGCTTGCAACTCACGAATGGCGGTCGATGCTTTGAGACTTGGCCACAGCAACTTAGAGGGAGAAGCAATGAGAATCGCTTAGTCACTCCGACACGATGAAGTGATTTGGGTGGGAGGAGTGGGGAACTGTACGGGGAGGCGAGTCAAAGTGAGGAGGATTTCGCGAGCGGAAGCTGCTGGTGCACTTTGGTGCGGGCATACCGTGCCGCGCCGCTCTCAGAGCAAAGCCCGTGGGCAGTCTGCTCGCCTTGTCGGCTCAGGTTGCAGCTGGCTCAGATCTGGTTTTTCTGCGCCAGGTAAAGCTTGGCAGCTGCAGCGCAAGAGGTCACCAACCTTGTCTCCGGGTCCACCTGCATATGAAGTCGGTCTCTGCTTGGAGGCTTCTCGGAGCTCGGCTGAAGCAACATCGTTCCTGTTCCTTACCCCCACCTCAGTCCGGTCGTGGTTGATGATCTCTCGTAGGTGGACCCCGTCCTTGCATCGCTGCGTCACCCTGAATCTCCCTCTCCCATCGCCGGACATGGAGGTGTTTATGTATATGGCTGGTGCATGTCGGATCCCAACTCGCTTCACGAACTTGGCATCTACGTAGAATCGATGTGGCCCGAAAACTGCCACACCTTTTAAGCCCGAAGAGGGCAGAATCGCAGGCTGAGCTTCGTTTTGATCGGGCGAGTCGGCATCGAGCCAGGCTCGCAGCGCCAGCTCCTTGGCAGGATGAATCAGCGCTTTAAACTCGGGTCTTCTTAAAAGAGCTTCTTCAACTGATATACCTTGCGGCGCTGCTTCTCCCCTTGTCATCCTGCTTTTATTGGGCCCTCTCGGCGCTTCCCACCCTCAAGCAGCCCTACCATGAGACCTGCGGCAGAGACACAGTGCTTTGTCAGGTGGTGTAGGCGTTGAGATCTTAAGTCCTCCTCCACTGAAGTCGGTTTTGCGAGTAGACACGGGGAGATCTGAAAGGCATAGAATACGTCGTGGAAAGCCGATGTGAGTCAAGTCACTGCAGACTCTGCATTCGGGCGTTCATCAGGTGAAGGCCTGAGACCTGCCGGACCAGCCTATGTTCTAGAGCAGGCTTCAGGGCACTACCAAGGATTGACCCATAAACTAACAACATTGTCCAAGACAGTTGCCAGCTGAGTGTAGTTGTACTTGGGATCTGCTACAACTTCATACTGTACCGATCTCCATCGCGCCTAGTGAGCAAGTGCTTTCTATGCTTTGACAAAGCGAAACTCCACAAGCAAATACCATGAACAAAACCTCTTACGATCCGGCCAAACCGTATAGAGGAGAAGACAAGCTCTCTTCTGGGGCCTCCGTGGGCCTGGAAAGTCTTACACGAGGCAAGGGAAATTCCAGGTCTGTGCCCTTCCGCGAGGATGCCCGAAACCCATGCCAGCATCCAGCCTACCCTTCTGGAGATGGCAGCATCTACATCTGGTTATCGGGATGAGTTGGCACAAATTAACTAATTACTTAAATTAGTGGGACTCTGACTGGGGGTATGACCTACTTGCCCCTTGCAAATCCTAACCTCCTCCACTTGGAGGCTCATGGGACTTAGTAAGTAAGGTTATAAGTAGGTTACAATTCGGATAACCCCACTTAGGGGACTTATAACCCCAATTATGACCCACTTACTAAGTCCCATGATCCTCTAAGCAAAATGCCAATCAGAAATCTGGTAACCAGCTTGGCTGAATCGGAAAATCACACGTGAAGCGGAAGCCAAGCACGGGCGATTCGGAAACCAGTGAAAATGCTGGCATTGACGTTATCATCTCGCGGTGTGGGTGCTCTTGGTTCTGAAGGCACTACTTCTGATTCAACGACCGGCTCTGATTTTCCAGCTTCTCACTCCATGACAAAGCAAACGTATAAACGGCAATCCATCCATCCATCCATCCATGCATCCATGCATCCCCCACCCGAAACTACACTCATATGTGCACATATATGCATACAAACACATACAGATGCATGGCGCGCAAATCCATACTCTCACAGAATCGTGTTTCCGGACACGAAACCAGAAAAAAGAAGACCGAGATAAAAATGAAAGAGAGGGAGAGGGAGACAGAGACACAGAGAGCGAATTAGCGAGAGCGAGCAGTCTGGGCACAGGAACAAAGTCTCTGACATCTCCTGTAGCTACAGCTACAAGCCTTGGCCGCGTTGAAGGAGTCAGAAGAGTGCACAGGACAAGCGGACGCGAGTACGATCGAGTACGACTACATGCCTCAACACACTAGAGTTGCATGGCTAGAAACCGTCGAAGTTCAGGAGTTCCAGTTACCTGCGCGACATGCCAGGTCAGACTTCTAGCCGGGCAGGCGATTTCCAAGTCCGAGAGGCAAGAGTCGATGAGTCGCTTTGCATGCTCGACGTAGGGGACCGGAGTTGGTGGCCACTGCAGGTCCGGTACCTCGAAGTATTGTCCGGAAAGTACCGACAAGGATGCTGTTTTCACTCCTACGTAGTGAAAGTCATTACACACTCGAACCTCCACATCTGACAGGAGCCCTTACTTAGCAGCTGAAGATGACAACTTTGCAAGAAGCCCTCAACCCTTTGATACGCCTGGGTTCCTACTACATCAAAGCATCCAGCAAGCACAGTAGCACTACAGGGGGGTGTTCGAAAAGCCTTGCAGCAGCCGGCCTGATTTCTCTCAGCCTGAGAGACCACATCCTCGCGAGAGCGCGCAAGGAAGCATTCTTTTGTTTGGAGCATGCTCTCGAAGCCCCTCTTGAAACAAGATGCTGCTTGCCTGTCATCGGAAAAGCTTGTAGGCATAAAACTCAGGAGAAGACTTGCAAGACCCTCACCGGGCAAAGGAAGGTTGGTTCGACTGTGACTATTTCGAGCTCCGCTCCAATGTGTGTAGAAGCCCCCGACAGCCTGAAGCTTCGAATGCCACCAAGAAAGGGAAACAAGCTCCTGAACACTCAGGCCCTGCAAAGGATTCGCTGCGGCCAGCACGAAGAAAATCACCTCACAAAGCGGCTGCTTCAGAGTCTCTGCTCTGTCTCTGATCTGATACATCCCTGGCCATGTGGCCCAAAGCACTGACTCCTACGGCCGCTGCAGCACATCTGCTCGCAACAGCTATGAGACACTGACTGCAGCTGCAGGTTTCACGCTGATGGCACTGGTTGCATCCAAAGCACTCTGCCGAATGAGAACATGTCTGCCTTGTCTGCCTTCGCCATCTGGATGGTCTTGGTAAGCACCTTTTGCAGGAGATGCCAGAAAGTCAGAGTGAGGCGAGGCCCTACCATAACCCCACTATGCAACTTGATTAGACATAAGTAATCTTCGCTACCTGACTTGAGAGACTTTGGATTCAAGTAAATTTAAAGCTGTGAACGCAAGATGCCTCAAGCTTAACCCGAAGGAGGGAGACCTTTAATTAAGTCAAAACGGCCCCTGTGCCCACTGACTAGTACCGACTGCTACTAACACTCGTAACATTACTAGTAAGACTTTTGGGTTCTGGGAATCTGAAATTCAAGGAGCCTACACGTCGCACCATGGATGACTACTACTTGCAAAATGCATGTTTCGATTGGATTTGGATAAGGCTGATCAAGGCTAAAGGCCACTGAAATTTCACAGGCGCAAAGACTACAGGTAAAAACTCAGTCGACTGGTGCAATTTCAAGCATGCGGTGTGGACGGCAATCGAGAGCATGACACCCTGCGGCCCCAAACAGGATATTGCTGTTTTGTTGGTTGTATCTGCTAGACAGAGGCACAGATTTCTCAGGATCTTTGTTCATAAGTTCCCTTGAGAATGCTCCTCTTAAGCGCTCATGTCGATCAGCTCCCCTCGTTTTAACCCGGGCCACCTCTGGCGCCATGTAGCGTGGTGTTCCTGCATGCGGACAGGGGGACAAAAATGCCGCAAGAGACTGCTGTCAACATCCATCCGAACCCAGCAAGGCCAACTTGCAAAGAGCAGTGCTGGACAACCAGATCAGAGTGGTAGCAGCCACAAGAGTTCAATGCCCCGCAGTCGTTCAGGAGCCCGTGGAATGTCGGCCTACAGCAAAAACCTTCAACTGGAAATCTGCACAGTGGACTCTGAAGCCACTCAGCAGGCCACTGATTGGGAGCCTGCAGAGCTCACCGAATGGGCCTTTTCCTTGGAACCGAGCCGCCTCCGATCAAATCTCGAAACCTGTACCCTAGGCCCTGACATCTGGCAAGGGTGGTGGCATGTTGTGGTGCATGATGGGACTTGCAAATTTGACAAAGTCTCCGTTGCACCCTAAACCACGAGGATGGAAGTGCGCAGAGGCAAGAAGAGTAAGAATGAAGCGAAACTGCATGCCCATGCAAAGGGAGTCCCAGATCAAAATTTGCTGAGGTGCTCAACTCGCTTTGTGCGGAGGGTGGTTTCTAGATTAAACGCTGCCCTTCGACATCTAAATCTAAGTCCACTAGCCAAAAAATTCTCAGGAACGCGACTCCCCTATCTGCCTCCCAGCTGGCGCGAGTGGCTGTGACGAATCCGCGAAAGTCCAAAATCGATCAGCTTCGGAGAACGGTCGCCTCAACTGCAGCTTTCAGCACGTCCCTGCCGTTGACTCCGGACTCAAGGATGCTCTGAAGCCAAGGAGCTCCAGCCAAGCGATTTGCAAGGTGTGGCTCCTACGTTTCTCTTGGCAATGCCTGTGGACTTCTCCACATGCAGAGTAGTTTCCGTACAAGGGCTCAGGAGACCTGTGCCGAGACGTGACGCCAACTACCCACGATGTGTTTCCCACAACTCGTTCCTCCTTGCCCAGCCGAAGGTGAACTCTGCTTCTTCGCCCTGCAAGAAACCACAAAATCAGAGAAAGCCCATGCCAGCGTACCCGGGAAGGACACCAGAAAACACAAGGTATCACGGGCCACGTGAAGGCTCCCCCTTCTAAATCCTATGTATCATGTTCGATGTTTTGACATTGTTTGCAAAAATGTATCATGTTCCTATGACTACTGTAGCTCTTCTTGCTCGTTGAGGAGCGCTCCAGGACCAGGACGTTGCTGGGCTTCAGGTCCCCGTGGGCCACGGAAGGAACCAAGCCGTGCAAGTACCGCAACGCTCCTGGGGCTTGCGGCGGGGCTACTATCATAGGTTGTAGGTACTGTTAGTATTATTAGTACTGTTAGTCTTAATTAGCGTTGTTACATATTACCATTACCATGATCAGTGTGACTATCGCCTTTGGAAGCAAGCTGGCCGCTAGCCCGCCAGAAGGTCCTCACGAACATTGCCCACATAATGATAAGCTCTGTTCTTCGAGCGATTTTGAGAAGAAGCACAAAGTCACAGGCAGTTCGTGAGCTTGAGCTTGGCAAAGCTAACCGCCTCACGAAAACATGTCACCATAAGTCCATACGCGCCAGGGCACGCAGGATTCCCAGTAATACCGCGTGCTTCTCTTGGGGGCGCAGCTCCAGGGATCCCGGCAGAAGCGACTGGAGGAGGCGCGTAGGAGTTCGGCTTGCATGTTGGGCTCTAAGGGGTCAAAACCGCCGGAAGCAGCACCGAAGACTCTGAAATCCGTTTACCCCGGAAAGCTTCCTACTTCACTCATACGCGGCAGGATGCGAGGCTACACTGCTACACCGTTGCATAATCACAAGCCGCCGTAAGCTTCAGGCCCGCACCGCTTGGCATGGTTTCTGCATGCAACCACGTTACCCTGCTTCTACCAAATCTCTAAGGCTGGCCCTACACCTTCTCCCAGTTGTTCCCAGCATGACTTCACTTACCATGCAAGTGTCTGCAAAACGTGGATCTGGATGCGTCGCCTGCAAGCTGGTGCCGTTTACCAACTCCTCCACCAGGAACAACACTTCCTGAGCTACTCGCAAACAACGAGCTGCTGTGCGGGTGCTTGCTCTAGCAGAGTAAGACAGCTGGCTAGCATGAACAGGAAGACGGTTCATACTCAGCAAAGCTCTTAATAACGTCACCTCGGCAATGAAAGCTTGAACATGACGGAAACACCCATCTGCATCGGCCATGTGCCCTCGCGGCTTGAGCTAGAGCGTTCAATGCACACCACTGCGACGGCAAATATGCACGAATGAATCTCACAATGTACAAGCTAAACTGAAAGGTTCAGGGCCACGGATCGTCAGCTGTTCGAGCAGAGCCTCCGTTTCCAAGCTACTTCCGACTCTACGTGCATCGTGCGAATCCTGGTGATGATGGAGTGATGATGGTGACGATGGTCATGCCGGTGATGATGACCGTCGTCAAGACGAGCTGCTGCCCTGGGCTTCTCCGTCTCGTTTGTGGTCGTACATTCTGCATGTGAGGGTTGTTCTATATCCTTGTTCCACGCATGCCAATTAGGATCCCTTGCGCTTCGCCCTTGCGCGTTGCTTGGGCGTGCTTGCGCGCGCGAGGGTTTCTTGAGACTATATAGATTTGTTACTATGGTTTGTTGACGCTTGGTTGCTTCGAGTCGAAGCTTCGGCTGCGGGTACAACAATCGGGCTTCAAGGCTCAAGAAGTTGTGCTGGGTCCCCCATGGTTTTGGGCAGGTGACCTTGCGTGCCGTCTTGCGCGCGCTTGCACCGATCTTGCGCGGAGGATGCCGTGTCAGAACCTAATTTTCAGCAGTTCGCGACACTGCTACCGCGGCTTGAAGAATATAAGAATGAGAGCGCTTACTCCAGAAGCGGAACGTCCTTGGTTTGGGTTTAGGGTTTTATTTAAGGACTATAGAGTTTAGGGCTTAGGGTTTACGGGGGGGTTTAGGGTTTATGGGTGTAGGCCGGGTTACATACAACGCTGCTGAGTATCACTCTTGAACCAACCTTAACAACAAGCCTTGCGCATAGCTTGAGATCGCCCTTGCGCGCGATCGAAAGGGTGTGCACTTTTTAAGCGACCGAGTTTTCGCTAATCGCCCTCCTAGTATTGTCACAAGAGCCCCCCAAAAAGAACAACGCTCATGTCATGTTGTTGCTTCGATGTTTTGCCATTCAGATCATCATCAGTTGTGCCTCAACGAGATAGGTTCCGCCTGACTGCACACTACACTCCCAGGCTCCAACCCGTCTGAACACAGCCTCTCTCACTTGCAGTCGGGAATGTTTGCAAGCAAGCTTGGAGAGTGCAATGCCGAGCATCCGCATGTGGCAGGATACAGGCGCCTGGCGAAGCAAATTCGGTTCGAACAATGCTACTACTGCTGGTCCCTTCGGGCAAAGCCGCCGGAGTCGACGCGCGATCGCTAAATGAGGCTGTGCGGGGAGGCTACAGTTGTGTTGTTTACTTGTCCCGATCGTTTGGGGCCGCGCAGAAGTGGAAGAACAATGGATGCTGCTGCTCAGGATGATTACCCAAAAATTTCCCCTATATCAATCAGCTATGCTATGAATTCTTCCAGGGCATACGAGGAGAAACCAATGGTTACGAATATCTTTGCCTTCTCCGTTATCCCGGCATGCTCTTCTTACCACGGCAGTGATGACTACCATAGCTACTGTGTTGACATGCTTGGTGCTACAGATCACAATCGGTCCGTTTGGTTACTGATTCAGTTTTTTTGTGGTAGTACCAATCTTGCAACTGATGCTTCTGCCATTGCTGTACTATAGCTGTACTACCCTTGCCGCTTCTGATTGTTACGGCTACTCTAAGCATCCATGTTCTGTCGTTGCTACAAGCATTGCAAATTGATGATGTCCCCCTGTCGCTCCACTCTTATTGTTCTTCTGGCTTTTTCTTGCATGTTCGAAAACTTCCTTCCATCAGCACAAGTATTGCCAAACATCCAATATTTTTTTGCTAGGGACGGTCCTTTCAGTGCCAGTGTTTCTTCTGTTGTTACAGCGAGGATGACTCAAACTGGAAATACAGGTTTCTGCAGATCATGTCTTTTGCTCTAGATTCTAGATGAGACCTGAAGAGTTGCGGATGACATGCACGCATGACTGCTATTCTGTACATACCTCTTGTCTTGACGGACTACTTTTGGAGTATCTCGAGTGGAAGAATCCTGTCGTGCTGAGGATGCAACGTGTTCTCCTTGTCTACTTCTGCTTGTTGCTGGAAGCAGTATCGCAACCATGCTTGCAACCTCTCGCCACAACCATGACCAGAAGCAAAGTGCCATCATGCTTCCAAAGACAAGTACACAGAACAACGGGTAAACGTGTGCCCATGAGACAGTGCGGCAAAACATTATGCTCGTTGCACTTGTTGCCGACGCACGTGCTGCCTTGAAACGCAACGATGTGAGGATGACGGACCCGTCGGAGAAATCTCAGCCTGAAATAAACCAGCTACGGTTGTAGTTGCCACAAACTTGTCTTGTGCAGTCATTCCAGTCCAGAACAACTGGCTTTTCAAAGCACAGTATAAGTTACAATCAGTGTGTCGACCTCCACAGCTCCAGAATTTGATGATGCTTCTGTCTACTTGTCTACTTGTTAAACCGATAGGGAAATGTAAGGTCATGCCCGGTCGTTGGCCGGTAAAGCATGCAAAGCTTGTCCTATACACAACACGTGGGACACGAATAGAGCGAAGGTAACCAAAGGCACGTTAAAACAGCTGCATGGCATGGCGATTATGCTTATGCGTTGCACAGCTCCGTCCCGGACCGCTTCAATACTTTCACGAGTCCAATCCGTCGGAAATGAGGAAACCCAGAAGCACTCGGAAACGACAAACAAACGCACCTGTCAGCAAAGCTGGCAGCAACGCTACCAGAATGCTTCTTACATCTGCCGGCCCAGTAGCTCGTTTGCCAAATCGGGCAGGGACAAGGATGCATTCGCCAGAGGCAGCTTTACCGCAACTGGCATCCCAAGTAGATCCCCGGCAAGTATCACCTGGTCAAGTGCGCATCAAGTGAACGACATCTACGGCCCCCACCGGTGCGACGGCTCTTGAACTTTTGGAGTTCCCTGCAGAAGAATGCAAAAATCACTAGGCCACCTGAGTCCCATGAGCACGATATTGCGCAATTATACAACCACAGCATCCAGGCGCAGCTATATTAGCTGTGACACATCGGCGCAAAAATCGATACGACGAACTTGTGGCTATAGATGCGAGGCACCGAGAAGTACATACTACTGCACTGGGGTGGCGAAGTCATCTTCGATACTCGTCCTTCGCGACTTCATGCTTACGACTCTCTGTTTGCCTGGCTTTGGCGATCCGAACCGTCGCGCATGCCCTCATCCGAGAGGCTCCGTAGTTTCCACGCCCAATCAGGTTCTTCGGGTTGAAACTGAGCTGTCTGGCCTCGTCATTGGTTCGTCTCAGATGCTCTCTTGATAACATCCACTCAGTCAGTCAGGCAGTTGTGCAATTTCGCTCCGAAAGGTTCCTTCATGGAGCACAACTTTCACACCTGCTCCTTGTCTGGCAGGCCTCGATAAGCCAGTGCTCCTGCAACATCTGGAGAAAGGCGTGGCTCAGAGGGCTGAGGGCCACAAAATGGAGGGAGGACCAGCCTGTGAACATACTTCAAGCAAAACAGCACGTAAACCTGGAGATGTTGTGGGAAAGAGACGGAGAGAGACAGTGAGAGAGAGAGAGAGAGAGCGCGACCAAGAAACAGGGACAGAGAGAGAGAGAGAGAGCGGGAGAACAACAGTGAAATCTTAAAAGTAAGGAGAAAGCCTGCTTGCGGATCAACTTGTGCACGTTCTGCTCATACAAGAGAGAAGTCATCTTTGGGACAATCTTTCAAGCTGTGCGCACGCTGTAGTCGAGAACCCGGGCTTCATGTGCACATGCATAAGTACATACGTACGTTTGATTGATGTATAGTTAACGAATTTTAAGAAACATATGAGCAAACAAACGAATAACAACACACACACACACACATACACACACATGTTGACCTTAATGATTGTGCGGATGTCTGGTGTAGGCGGCCAACATGAGCCAACCAAACACGCATACACACACACACAAGAAATGACGCGAAAAACCTATCTTTACACATACATATAAATACATGTGTAATGTAAACAAGCGTAGATATATACATACATGTGAAGGGTATTCGCATAGACGGCCACATACACATACATACACACATACATGCTGAAATTCTTGCTTGCTTGCTTTCTTACTTGCATTACATGTGTGCATACATAGTCAGCCACATATGTGTTAGTATAAATCCATTGTATACATCTGTTTAACACTCATAATATCTCATAATCATACCAAATCAATACGAGTAATAACAAGAGACAGCGCATGTATTTATCTTGAGCTCAAAACCCGGAAATCACGCTGCTCGCATTTTCGGACAGACCGAGTCCTGATAGCCAAGCGCCACCATGTGCTCAAGCTGTTCTCTGCAGTCCGTCTTCATATCGAAGACAAACTGTGTGAAACCCGTTTGACCTGCAAGGCCAGGCCACGCAACGGTGCGACGGTCAGGGTTCACCAGCTGGACCAAACAGCCGCACACATCTCTCCGCGCGAATGCACTTCATTCGCCGTCTTGCGACCGAGCAGCCGGTTGTGTCCTTGGCAAACGACCAGAAGCAATTAGCGTGAAACCCACGTCACACTCACGTCACTTAGATGTCGCTCCGCAGGCACGGAACCCGCATTGATACCAAGGCATATCATGTAGCTGGGATGCACACGTCGCAATGCCGCTACTCTTGGGGCTGCCCTCTCTGAGGATTCTGACTACTACTGCAGCTAAGCGGCAGTGACCTCAGCTTGCGGCAGTGCTGACTGATTGTTCGCTCACCGCAAGCAGGGTGGGTGTGGAGCAAACACAGAGTACAGCCACTAAGAGAAGGAGATAGAGGGTGCATGCTAGGGCGGCACAGCGAAGGGGCTTGAGAGACAGACAGGACAGAGACAGAGAGCGAGCGAGCGAGCGAGCGAGAGAGAGAGAGAGAGAGAGACAGAGAGAGAGAGAGAGATAGCGCACAGCGCAAGAAGAGAGAGCGAGAGCGAGAGGCCGTTCAAGCGGCAGAGATGAGAACAACGCACAACTTCAGTGGAAGCTTTGACCGTTTGCCGCGGTGTACACTTGCCTCTGGTCGCCCAAGTCAAGTGCGGCTAGACGGCCATCGACTGCAGGTCTGCAGCCCGTCGGTTAGGACTTGATCTCCCAGAAGACAGCGAGCTCTGGGCCTGGATCAACAGCCCTCGCACTCTTTGAAGCCACGGTGCGAAAGACTGAAACCGAGATCGCGCCATTCTGAATTGCTGAACATATCCGCTGTCCGGAGCGGTGGGTAGCAGAGGCTCGAAGCCGTATGAGAAAAGAACATGGGTGCTGGAGGCCCTGTCAGTAAGTTATCCTACGATTCGTCTTCAGGGATACCGGACAAGTTCGTCAGCTTCAGCAGGTCTCCAGCATGGACAACAGTGGTCGGCGAAGCTGTACTCCCATCACGCCAGGCCTGCTCCAGCTTGAAGTCGCTCTCAAAGCGTGCGACCCTGCACGTCATGCCAGTATGAAGACGCAAGTTTGTGCTGACTCTAATTGCAACCGAGTTCAGACGAGGAGCGAGGCGAGTGACGACAAGACTACAAGGTAATTTTTGTTTGCCAATCCCCTGCTTCCATATCAGGAGTCTGCGAAGCCAAACGGCTGCAGCTCCACTATACCCTCGAGTTGCAATCGCCTCTCGGAGATCAGCTGCAGCCGCTGATGGCGCTCATGATTCTCCAACTGCCGCTTGGCCAGGGACGCCAGGGCCGTGACCTCGGCTTTGCCGTTGAGCCGATTCCGTGACATGTACATGGCAGGGAATTGACAAAGGCGAGCACTGTCGGCTGGTGGCATAGAAATGGTGTGCTCCTATCCGCTGGCATTTCGTTCCGATTATCACTTTCTGACATTGCTTGGCGACGCCCAGAAGAGAAGTCCGCTACGCCTAACCAGTCAAGTACCCTGAACATTCGCAGCTTCAGACCAGTATACAACCGGTATAGCAAAACCGACAGCCAAGCGACACCACCGAAGAGCGCCAAGTTCATGGGGACATTGAAAATGCCTCCGTCGAGTCGTCACGTGTTGCAGACTCTCAGGTCGTGACCAGGTCGTGCGTGGGCGTAGGTGAATCTGCGTGGGGTAAGGACAGAACAGCTGATCGGTAAGATTGTCCGCTCGCCGGCTAGGCAAGAATGAAACAAGGATAAGAGGATAGGGTGAGGTCCTGTAACCAAACAGCAAGACCCAACACACGCGCACACAGACACACACACCGATGAAGGCACACAGATGGGTGGATAGCGAGATAAAAGAGGCAGGACAAACAGATGGACAAAGATTGGGAGCTTTACGCCATACACCCGTCAACGAAAACGCCCGCTTCTTTTTCAATGCTTTCTCTCTGAAGTGCCTCCAAGCATGGGCCTACAGAAAGAAAAGCGTCCGCTGAAGGCGCGGCCTTGGTGGCTTCTTGATCACATTGCCGCAGAAGGCCGCAATCTTGTTGGCATAAAGGACAGGAGCCGGCACACGCACAGCGTTTGGAACGTTGTAGTACATAAGGCAGAGCCGGTTTGTGAGGTTCTCGATCAGCTGCAACGGCAAGTCAGCTCGATTGATCAATACCGTATAGTGCGTTGGGACAGCGCTCCCTTTGGCAATGGCCTGGCTGAGCAAGAAGAACTCGGGAGTGGGACCAGGACAAATTGCAGGATCATCCACAACAGTACCTGGCTCAGGGTTTCTGATGTTCTCCTTGTCACCCCTGAAGATCCGCATGTCAGTCTTCCTTGCGATGCCGATAATCACAATTTTGGGTGCGTAGCCTTTCTGAAACTTGGCAACCGCATTCACTACTTGCACCAGCGCTTGCAGCTCTATGGCATCAACCAGGGGCCATTCTTCCTGGTTCACCGATGCACGGTACACAACAATGGTTTCCGGCAGGATGCCATCATTGCAGTCCATGAAAGCATTGAGTGCATCACGGAAGAGGCGCTGCAGTTCAACTGACAAGCTGGTTCTCCACCGCTGCACGGATCCCTTCTCCAACTCGGCTGCCATGGAGTAGTACTGAGAGAATACCTTGTCCAAAGTCGCAGAGATCCCGAGCCATCGGGCCCCTTCGAAGGTGAGATAGACATCAATGCCAAAGATCATGAAAGGACGCTTCCTAAAATCCGTGAAGGCAGTATCCTCTGAATCCTTGGGGATGATTTGCCACAAGGGCCCACAGAACTTCGCGTTGATCTGCTGGACCACCTTGTGGAGGATGGAGCCAATGGACTGGCGCTTGCGGATGGTGTCGCTGCGCACAACCTGCGAGATGCAAGGATATCGGTCGCATGCCATTTGCTTGAAGGAATGGTACACCTTCCTCACGTCCTTGTTCGGGATGAGCAGCATCATCAGCTGGGTGTCTGGGTTAATGTACTCCTCGATCTTTGCCTTTAGCTCCCCGTGCTGGTCACTGCAGCAAACCTTGGTTGGCTCCTCCAGCTTGCAGCCGAATGCAACCCTCGCAACATCTCGCAGTGACCGCAACCAAATCTCCAATACTGGCTCATCCGTCTGTGGATAGAACAGTAGCCACCGTTCGATTGTCACAGGACACTGCACGCCGTTCCTCAGAGACCGAGCAAAGCTACCTTCCTCAATAGCGTAGATCTTCTTGTCATTGAAACCCACCTGCAAAGTCTCTAGCTGCCTTGCTTCCACCTCGAGAGTCTCTGTGGGTGGTCCCAACTGACAGCCCCAGGCATTGAGCGCTTCAGGCAGTTCATTCTCCATTTCCGCGCCGTGCCTCACGATAACATTGTGCCTCTCCTGTGGAGAGACTTTGATCTGCTTCAGAACCTCACTGAGGGGGCTCTTCTCCTGGCGCATCTCGTCTGTCACACCCGTAGGACAGCAAAACTCTGGCAGCAAGAACACTTTCTCCTTGGCCTTTTCTGGATAAGCTTCCAAGAGAGGCTGGCCTTTGAAGGTTACAGACTTCTCGTAGAAGGTTTCCAAATACTTCGCATAAGTAATTTCGACATTCTCCCCGTCACCCCCGCCTCGCTGATGATACGTGAAGGTGTCGAAAGGGTTCATGTTGAAATGCACTTGCTTTATCCTGTACACGCGGAAGTTGTAGTTCGTCACAACGGTGGCGGACACACAGAATCGCAGCCATTCGGCCCTGATTTCCGGAAATGGCTGAAAGATATCTGTGCCTTCCATGGCACCTTTCAAGACTTCCACTATGTTCTTGGCGCTGGCCGGCTTGTGCAAGACATCCAATTGCAGTAAGGGCCCAGCACTACCCAGCCTGGCAAGATTCACGCAAAATGCGCTGATTACACTGTGGTGTCCTTTGACCTGTTGGCAATCGTTCTTGTAAAAGCGCTTGCCAACCCTCTGTATTCGGCGTTGCCCCGCTAGCTGGTCAGCAATGTACTGCCCAACTATAGAAGCCGAGCCCATGTATCCGTCTTGGATCTTCTGCGCAGTGATTTCGGCCACATGGCAAACATCCAGTTGCACGGGCTTGCCGTTCTCGTCGCGTACCTTCAACGGGAAGCCCTCCACCTTCGTGGGAGAAAAGATGCGACCAGGCAGCCAAATCACAAAATGAACTAAATGTTTCTTCATGTCGGACCATCCTCTCTCAAGCAGCTTTCGCTCAGAATCTGCGGAGGTCTGTGGATCCGGAAGATCATACTCATACTGGTGGATGCTCTTGGTCCAGTTCATCCGAAAAAGATTGACCCTCACCGGGAAGGTCTTCTCGGCATTCTTTCCGGTAGCATCTCCGGGCATCTCTCGTGCAGCTGTGATGCCATCTTGCTGTACAGGAAACCATCTGTCCTGGTACATTGCCACTCTGCAGCCACAGGCAGAGATTCCGAAATCTACTGCCAGGCTACATGATATAGGGCTGCTAGCCGCAGCATTGAGCCACCGCGGCTAGAGTGGCCATGTGTATCTCAAACTCTGTTCTGGCTCGATTATTCCGATTAGCGAGAACCCTTCGCAGTATCCTGTCTCGGAAATTTCACACCAAAGCTTCAGGTCAGGGGGTCCTGGGCACTGAACCCGAAACGCCATCAGACAATCCAGTGATACCCGACCAAGATATACCAAGACTCGGGATCCACTATCACTATCAGTTCGGCCAATCCTACGACAGTCTTCTGCCAAGGCATTGGGGCAAAATCAACGCCAGAAGATCCCAATTTTCTGCCCGTGGCACGTGGATGCCAGACCAGGTCACGCACTCGCGCCTTCTGGACTCCCGAGGACGGCGCACACGACATAGGTGAGCACTCCTGCCAAAGCTTGTTTTAATCGACAAAGCACAGGTTGCTTTGCCAGAGATGTCAAGGTGATGTTGCAACATATGTTGCTCTAGCACAAGAAGCAGTCACTTCCATGCCACCGGACTTGGTAGCCGCAAATGCTAACGGAACATGCAATGAAATCAACCGCAGAGTTAAGGTTGAAGCTTGATGTATGTTCGGCCGGGCTCATAACAAAGTCGTCCGCGACCGCTTAAGATGTGTAAACAGGTCATCGCAAGGCGCCAAGACCAGCACATTGCCTGCACAACATAAGCCCACAAGTATAGTAAACGGCAAAAGCAGGACCTGCCAGCTGCGTTGGGATCAGCATGAACCACCGCACGTTCAGGAAGAAGTGTGCAGTTGTCAGCAGCGAAATCCACGAGAGCATCAACCTGCGCGCATGGGTCTCGTTGGCGAGTACTCTTAACTTTCACGTCGCAATCCACGGCAAGCAGCGCAGGTATGCAGCGGTGACTTCCAGCTACCAGTACGAACTGCCAGGCAAAGTTTGTTCACAAACGCTGAACGTCCCGTGCCTGGAATCTGAGCCATAGTTGTAACAGTCCGGGTTGTCCGGGCTCATGAAAAACTCTTCGGCTAGCCCATGCATCCTCGACACGTAGTGGTAGTCAATGTGTGGCACAGCCTTCGTGGGGGAGGGGGGAGCCAGTTTTTTTTTGAAACCCTGCCAACTCAAACTACAGACTGGAGGGGCTTGGAACGACTATGAACCGCTTGCCTCATCCTTCAGAAACGGACCTCTCTCGTTTCCTCAACTGCAAAAACTCCTACTGCAAGAAAGAGGCGAAGATGATCACCGGGACCGTGAAAGCTATGGACCTCTCGAGGGTTCTCGCCGAGGCGGCGAGGCACTGCACCAGGCCAAGGCTCGCCTCCCAGGCGGAGGGGCCCCTGGGCCCATTGAGCCATAAGAGGCCCCCCCCAAAGCTCCCGTCGAGTCCTAGCAGAGTCTAGCAGAGTCCCTGGAGTCGTAGAGCCATAGAGGCCCTAAGGTCCTGGAATGTACGACATATCGAAGCTCCAGTGACATTGAATTGGGGTTCGGCTTTGCAGCTTCGGTCCCGATCTGCTTCGCATGTCCAGTACAAGACAGGCTACAATGGTGCTCTATGACAAAGAAGCTGTTCGAGTCTGCAATGCAACTTTGGACGCAGGAGGTCAGCGACAACTACAAGTGCTACACAGGTTGTTGACAGGGACGACACCAGGAGGGCTTCGTCCACAACCTCACAAACCCTTTCAACAAACATGCTTATGCGCAAGTTCAAACACACACACACAAAAAAAAAAATACACACACACACACACACACCATCCATCTCTCGCACTCGACGCTTCAATGTCCGATAGGAAAACCTCCCGTCGACAGGATTCACACAGGTGTTATAGGCTCAAGTGGGAATACTGGAACAGTTCAACTGTCTGTTCCTGTTGCAAGTCCAAAGAGACGCAATGGTGTTCCCGATGCCAAGGAACATAAGGCCAAGACAACAGACGAGTGGCTACTACGACCAAGGCCATGAGAAGTGCGCCGCTGCATGTGACTCGGTGGATGAGCACCTCCCTCAGACCTGGATCGGATTCCAATGCCAGGGCTTTTAGGCACAGTGGGTGCTCCAGGAATTCACCCAGTGCCCTGAACTTTCAAACATCACGTCCTCCTAAACCCGAAGCTCAGACCTCAGTGCGCCCATTGCTTCTGAGCGGCCTGGAATGGCAAGGTCACCGGCCAAGAAAGACTGAGTCAAATATGCACTCTGAACCAGCAGCAGTACGGAAAGCCTCAGAGCACGCAAATGGCTCATGCTCACCTTCAGCAGGAGCTCCTACGATCATCAACCCCCCTGAATTCCATCAAGAGTTGCTAATGACTCCGGGCAAAACAGAATCTATGCTGGCTCAGGCTTGGGATTATGCGCACCTAGGCTCACATTTTCGGTCTTCAGAGAAAGAGAAAGCGACAAAAGGAGAGAGAGATCAGACGTACTTCTACTCCAGCCCGCCTCGAGCATTTGGGTGATATTTTGATGGGTTTAGGGGCTACCTCGGTTGGGAGGCGCAGGGGCGAGCGAGCGAAGAGAGGGACGAAGACAAACATACTATGCACATGATGTATGAGCTACGTAGACGCATCTCTGTTTGTGTGTGCAGGGGAGTAGAGTGTACAGAGAGTGCTTAAATATCTGTGCGAGTGTCCAGCACATCAAAATGTATGCAAAGCGAGCATAGGCAGATGCACATAGTCATGTGCCCACGTGACTATGTCTGTGTGCCTGTGTGTATGTCTAAATGAAACGAACAAGACGCACACACACACACACACAGCGGCACTTCTGGACAGCAAGGTGTTGAATGCATTGCAATGACCAATGGCTAGCTACCGCCACGGAAGTTCGGCGGTAAGGATAAGGTGTCCGACAGCAACTCACGCAACTCAATCATTCTCGCTTGAAGCGACTGCCAGGGCACACCAAGGAAGACCGAATCATAGCCTTCAGCATGCCTTCTCTGCGAGCTTCCAGGAACGCCCTCACGGGGGAGTGGGCCAAGGAGGTTCGGAAGAGCTAAGAAGACTAGATTCTTCTAGATCCGCTAAGCCAATAGTAACTTGTGTTCAACATGTCCGTGGCATCTACTCCTTTTGCAGAGAGAAGACTGGACGTGGTATCTGAGGCACTGACTCTTCCATAGCATGTTGCTGGAACGCCAGTGAGAAGAAATAAGTGGCGTTGGTAGCTGATGCCTCCTGAACTTGCGTCATGGTTGGGAATCGGAGGCTCGTCACTCCTCCCTCTCCCTGCACTCATTTGTAGCACAGCCGGCTGAGAGGGGCAGCACCGCTGGATCAAGTCATGAAAGGCTCTGCAGCCGAAGGGCCGTCATCTCCCCGCAACGTCCAAGACTGCAGCCTGTGGATGGTGCTTCGAGAGTCCTCAACAGCACACAGAGACATAAAAAGTGGCTGGCGACCTTGGAAGGTTCTGTTCTTCGAGTCTCGTTACAAGGGTCTCAGCCTGAGAACCTTCTGCGAGGCGGAGCCTCTTCGCTTAGGTTGCTCCTTTGCGGCCAGGGATCGAATCGGTGAAACAGGGCGCTACATCCGGCGTGTCCGGACGAGCATGGCTGAACCGTGTTGACACGCACCAGCCAGGTCCAACGTGTAATTTGAGTGTTGGCAAAAGCACATGTCTGTTTGGCCGCATGGGCCTTGGGTGCAAGTGTCATGTTTTGGGACTCCATGAGACTGAGAACAAAAAACTTTGCCGCATGCTATGAGCAGTATCTCGTGGCAGGCACATTGATAGACGTGTTCCCCCGTACCCCGTCCAGATGCCCAACTTGGAAGACACCTGGGCAGTCTGAGCCTGGGACCTCTCTCATCGAGTAGTGCCAGCTGGCCTTCCATGCTTGCGCAGACTGCTCTAGATGCCCGGCTCATCGGCAAAGTGTGCTGAGCTCGCAGCAAGGACGATGGAGACGAGAAGCTTTAGAACTTCTCCTGCAAACCTCAAACTCATGGAAATGCCACCCACCGCTCCGCAGGGTTCGGGAAACGCTGGTGGTTCAAAGGATACGAATACCCAACCAAGAAAGAGCTGAGCTTCTATAAAGAACCAGACTCCGTACTTCAAGAGAATCCCAACAGGAACTCATGAGGCTGAAGACCATGCCACGGCTTAGGTACGTGCACGGCTGTCGTGACCAGGTAAAGCTCTTGGGCCTGCAGCCACCAAGAGTCACAAGTCTGACCAATTCCGTCTCTCGGAATTCACCTAAATTTCGGCCTCCCCTTGCGGCTTGGGCAGCCTGGAGTAGCGCATACACAGCGCCAGAGCCTTCAGCTGCTCGAAGCTGTGAGACGTGCTAGCTTACGGAGCCTGATCTTGCCCAGCTCAACCCAAGCTTGAGCAAATCCGACTATCGGGAGCCTTCCAGACACACCCCGGTCTCCGATTTGCGGAGGGATTTGGGAGAAGTTTACCCAAAGGCGGAGCTCCACAGCGGCCCAAGCACGCAGGAGTTGCAATGTATGTATGTATGTATGTATATATATATATAGAAGTGAATGGATTCTTTGGAACGAATCTCTGGGTGCGGGACCGTGTTCTGAAAGACCACCTCGGGAAGAAAAGCGGGGAGTGGGCCGGACACTCTGCCATGTGGTACATAAGCTTGACACTGTGCTACAAGACTGAATATCTCTCACCAGCACGGACCAAAAACAATACATTCGAGAAGTCCGACATCTCTGAAGCTGTTGACGCAAGGGCAAGGGACCAGCAAACCAGCACCACAGGCCAAATGCACGGGTCTTGACCCCTACTTACGCTGCGAGTACGAGGGTGCGAGAGCAAGCTCACTCTTTGGAAAATCCCCGTGCCGGCCGTCGTCAGCGAAGCACGTCGGAGCCAAAATGAAGTCTCGTTCCCCATTCGGGGTGAAGGAGAACCTGCAGGCTATGTCACTATGTCGTCGACAAACTTACTAACTACGGCCATACATGTCCTTCCTCCCCTTCAGTATAGCATGTGGGACGCTGATGCTCAAAAACATCAATCCGTGAGCATGAGATCCTTGTATGACTGCATGACTTGAGCAAGCAAGTGCAAACCATGCCGTGGACTGCAAAACCCAAGCGCCCCCTGCCTTGGTCTTGACCAGTTACCTCCTGCAGCTCCTTTGCCTGCAACCATCGGACAGGGTGTTCATGACGAGCCGGGATTGGACAGCATGTGTGGCAAACTCCATCGCATCTCAGCTTTCAGCGCACGCTTTGACATTTTGCATGGAGTCATGTGTATTATGCTACTGGTACAGGCAGTGTGGTGAGGCTGGGCAACTACTGTCGGTCTGCGTGGCCTCGTTGCATTTTGAATCCATCCCAGTCCGCAGGCAAACATATCTCCTGCTAAAATCCGTGAGCGAAGGTGGCGGCGGCAAACATCAATGATATGGCGGCCATGAGCAAATCCCAACACGTCGCTGAAGTGACTGCCTAGCATGCCAGAACAAGCCAACACACATCGTCCAATGATCAATCCCTGCTGGCTTTTCACCGACAACACCTGGAGTAGCCACCGATTGCTGACCACTTACTATGGTACCCTTTCTGCAGGTACGTGCATGTACAGCAGCCGGCTGAGGAGCTTTGGTCTACAACAGATCCGAAACAGTGATAGCAAGCTCAAACCAGGAAGCTGCCGCCCTTGAACAACGGCTGCCAGATCCCGATATGTATGGATGCAAGATATGTATGTATGTATGTATGTATGTATATATATATATATACACATATACATAAATATGCACGTACATCCTTTATACACATACAGTTATTTGTTTTTAGGTGTGTATGTATGTATATATATATATATGTGCTTATATATGCATACATATGATATACTGCACACACATCACACCACATTATATATAGATATACACATAGGTAGACATAAATGTAGAGAGAGAGAGAGAGAGAGAGAGAGAGAGAGAGAGAGAGAGAGAGAGAGAGAGAGAGAGAGAAAGAGAGAGACAGGGAGAGAGAGAGAGCGAGAGAGAGAGAGAGAGAGCTCTTGCTCTTAGATACAGAATGTCTCTCAAAGACTCCCCACTCCCCGTGCGTCGGGTCGCCGAGCCGGCCTTTCATTAACGCGCTATACTGAGGGTCCAGCTCCTCACCTTCCCAAGGTCTTTTCAAGTCTGGAAAGCGTAGAAGCTGCAGGTAACGCTCTAATACAGTGGCTGCGTTGATATCAATTCGTGCGATTGCTCGGGCGGTCTTGCTTGCATGTTGCAGAAAGGTGGGGTGCTGGGCCCCTGACAGCTCCATCCCTGACGATGGATTTCCGGGCACACCGAGGGCACGGCAGAACCCTTACAATGGCTCTTCTCGCCGAATTGGGAACCTCATGTGTGTCCTGGAAGGCTGCAGGAAGCGGCGCAGGGGACACCAGCAGCTCTCTCAGCCGCAAAGTTTCGGAACTTCACCGCAAGAAGTTTCGCATGCAGAACCAAGAAGGAAGCAACTGTCCTGCCTACAAGCTACTGTATGATAGTTGGGAATTTGCGGCGAGAGCCCTGCCAATTTCTATCTAAGACAATGTGCCCCCGCAGCTCGTGTCTTAACTTTGGGAACGCGGGTGAAACATGCTCCCTAGCAGAAAAAGCGATGTTCTCAGAAAGCCACAGGGACTGCCGCACCACCAGCAGCAAAGCCAGCCCTTTGCTACAAATGCTTTTTTCTGTAGGGCTCTGGTGGCCAGACGGCAACCTTTTGCAGCACGGAAGAGCCGTTTGCTGGATCCGGGATCCTCCCGCATTTGGGGTGGACCGAGTGTCTATGTATACCACAGGCCCCCGAGCGTCCATGTGTCACAACTCTTGAAACCTGATTGATTCTTGGGTTCAAGTCGGACATGGACAGCTGTGAGGGGAAACCGGAAGGCTGCCGAAGAGCACACTCTAGTTGGGCGACCTGCAAGAACTATCGTCTCTCTTCGGCATGCAACATGTACATCACTGCGTGTCGCACGCAGCATCGGGTCGCCTCATTTCTCGCATCCTGCAGCACGCATAGCGCCAATTCTCCAATCAATGCTCAACTCAACCCGTCATGCATGTGCTAAGCCGCTAAGCAGAAGAGCGTACCGAGGCAAAACGGCAAGTGCACGCGCACACGGCACGACTTCCTCTCCAAAGCCCCACGACCACCTTAGGCATCCTTAGGCCCTTTCTATTGTCGATCTCTCCTATCTTCCGGTTCATAGCCGCAACACCAGAAAACTCATGGTCCTCTGGGGTAAGCCCTCCTTCTCCTTGCTCTTGTGGCGTTCTGCAACAGCCTTATGCTCAAGCGCATGCATGGAAGCTTGTCCCGTGGATGTGCAAAGATACTGAAGACACGGACGTGGCACATGGAGAAACGCTTGTCGGCGCGCTAGGAGCGCCACGTGCTTGGCTATTGCAATGGAGCCAGACCTCTCCTTGCAACTTGCAACAGAAATCGAATCGCAAAACACGCGAGATTAGCCTTAGGCAACAAGTTTGGAGAACAGGTATCATGCCATCTGGCATTGCCAGAGGCATCAACAACTGCTGCTTTGCATGCCTACCCATACTACCTGAATGCTTCAGCCAGAAGCTCTGCCGATCTTACAGATGCATTTTCAGGAGCTAAAATGTTTCCTGACATCGCTGAGTTCGCAAAGCCTGAGCGTTCAAACCACTTCGCACGACGCTTCAATGGTCAAATCCTGATCCCAAGCATGAAACCTAAAGGCTCAGGCAGTGGACATCAAGCTCAAGCTCCTACAGCCTATCATGGATCCCGAAACACCTAACTCGGTCCTCCTTTCTGCCCTGCCCGGGCTCCACGGATTGGCTCCTGGGTTGAAGCATCCAACGTCGGATCGACAGGCTGTCCATACTACGTGAAAACTGCGCCCGACCAACTGGTAGGACACTCAAGTTGACCACGACCACACAGACGACCACGACCACCGCGACTGCCGTGCTCCAGCAATTGCTGCAGTCGAAACGACTGGGGCTTATGGGGCTTTACGGCCAGCGGCACAGTGGCTGATTCAAAAGTCCCAACTATGTAACTTCTTGCCACCAGGACACGCGCGGACGTAATGGCTGGGACGTCGACGCCATGTCCCTTCCTCCTGCTGCTGTTGGGAAAAAACA